CCGAGGGAGTCGTAGCAGAGACAGACAGGGAGCCTTGTGGCCTGCGGCCCTTCCCGCCACCGTGCTGGGGTTGTGGTTGGAAGGCCTCTTGAATGTTTTCGGGCCTGTTGGGGCCTCTGTTAGGCCTCTTGGGGTCTCTTGGGGGCCTCTTCGGGCCCGTTGAGGGGCTCTTGGGGCCTTCCAGGGGCTTCTTGGGGCGGGAAGCTCGAAATGTCGGTTCGTGGTCCTCTTCTTGGGCCTGCTTGGGGCCTCTTGACGCGTCTTGGCGCTTTTTCGGGCCTCTGGGACGCCCAGGGGCGGATGCGTTTCTGACCCCCCCCCCAGGACCCCTCCCCCCCTCGGCGGGGAAGGAATCAAAGGGAAGGGGCTTCCCTTCGACTTAAGTACGACGCTGCTACGGTTTTCGCCCGCTTGCAGGCTTGAAGAGGAGGGTGCAGGGAAAGGGGGCGACGGAGACGCAGGGAAAGAGGACAACGGATGCGTCGACTGAGCGCACGCCGACAGGGGGTCCACACGCCGACAGGGTCGGCGAAATTGAAACTGTTGTAAGCTCTTGAAACGGATGTGCGCGGCGCTAATGCGAGAGCCACAGGTTGAAAAGGAGTCACACTGCATCCGTGAAGCTCTTGCAAATTGTTAAGACGAGTGCGCGCGGCGCTAAGGCCACGCCGCATGTTGAAAACGGCCCGCCCTCCTTCCGTGAAGCTCGCGCGAATGTTTAAGACGAGCGCGCGCGGCGCTAAGGCGAGAGCCACAGAAACGGCCAGCCCTCCATCCGTGAAGCTCTTGCAACTTGTTACGACGAGTGCGCGCGGCGCTCAGGCGAGAGCCACGTTTTGAGCACGGCCCGCCCTCCACCCGCAAAGCTGCTGCAGATTTTAAGCTGCTGCAGGGTCACAAAATGGTTGAGATGTCTCTGGCGAAACGCCCAGCCCCTCCCGACCGACACGCGGTCGAGGAAAGGAAGGTCTGATTTATGAGGGCAGGAGTGGAGGAGGCGGAGGAGGAGGAGCAGGAGGAGGATCCTTGACCCGTCCAGCCAGTTGCTGCAAGTTCCCGCCGTCGCTCACACTATTCAGTGCCACCTTGGATCCCTCCCCCATTTCCCGTTACACAGAGGGGAGAGTGCAGGGATATGTTGCCGTAGGTAGGGGCGGCTCAAAGGCGGTTCGCGCCCCAACTTGCTTCACCCGACCTTGCCGCGCCCCAGGGGAGGAGGGGCGAGGGAGGGGGAAGGCGAGGAGGAGGAGGAGGGGAGGGCGAGGAGGAGCACGGGGAGGGGCAGGGCGAGGAGGAGGAGGAAGCGGAAGAGGAGGAGGAGGAAAAGGAGGAGTAGGAGGAGGAGGCGGAGCAGGAGGAGGAGGAGCAGGAGGAGGAGGAGGTGGAGGTGAAGGTGGAGGAGGAGGAGGAGGAGGAGGAGGAGGAGGAGGAGGAGGAGGAGGAGGAGGATGGAGGAGGAAACGGGGAGGGGCGCCCGCGGCCTCTCCAGAGGGGTGGCCGTGGACTCCGTCCGCCGCCGCCGTGGGGGGTGGGAAGGCTCGGACACGTGCACCTTTGTTCGGCCAGGAACATCGGGGAGCATGTTGGACCGTTCTTCTTCCCCCTCCTCCTCCTCATCCCCCCTCCTCCCCCCCCCCCCCTATCCCTCCTCCACCTCCTCTCCTCCTCTTTTTCCTCGTCCTTCTCCTCCTCCTCCCTCCTCCTCCTCCTCCTCCTCCTCCTCCTCCTCCTCCCCCTCCTCCGTCCGTAGCCATGTTGGCTCAAGGTGATGGGCCCCCCGTGGATCGGAGTGGAGGCCCCTGGTCCGAGGCGGGCAAGACAGTTCTGCCTGGCAGTCTCTCTCGACCTGCTCTGCGGGACTTGGGCCCCCGCCACCCAGTCTTCGCCGTGTGCGCGCGCCTGCCCACGCAAGATGGAAAGAACGGTGTTGGTATCACCAAGAAGAAGAACAAGCTAGGCCGCGGTTGTGGCATTGCAAGTCCTGGCGGCCCTCCTGGTGCTACTGCCCATCGGGATGGCGATCGGTCGCGGTCCAGCCGAGCCGTCAGCGACGACGCAGGTGGCATGGATGGTACAAGTCGGGGCGTTCATATCAAGGGCCTCATCCATGGAGAATTGCAGGTGGAGTCCGAGTCTCTCCAGAATGAGATCGCCGAGCTTGCTTCAGCATCGGCAAGTGAAGCAGCAGGCAAGGCAGTCGATCCAGCCATGGCGGCCATCAAAGCGCTGGAAGGTGCAGCCAAGTCGGTCCCGATCACGTGCAAGGCGCAGGTCGGATCGCAGCTCAAGACGCAGCTGGGTGATATGGAGCGACGCACGCAGCAGCAGTTGGACACCCTTCAAGCCCAAATGCGAGCCATCGACAATCTTACAGAATCCTTGGCGGTAGATATGGACCAAATGCGCCAGGCCATGGACGAGTTGCCAACCGTGCCCCCCCGCCGCCCAAGCCATCCGCAGGGTTTCAACGTGAAGCGGACGGAACCATACTCAAGGTTGTGGCGTCGGCTTCCTGGTCAAAAAGGAAGATGTGGTCTTATCGGTTGGCAAGTGGTTGCACGACGCTGAGCTGGACAATTACACTGTGGTCGGAGATGCTCAAGACAAGCTGTTCACGATTCAATTCAACGGAGCTGCTGGCACTGCTGGGAAAAAAGTGGCCCAAGCTCTCGCAGCCCTTCGCCTTCCTGGGGAGGGGCAGTGGATGCGTTTTCCAGTTCCAGCTGCGTCTGGCGGCACTGGTCAGCTGCATACGGCCCTGACAAAAGCCCCTTCCAGATCAAGCTGGAGAGGTCGGGCGAGAAAGTGGTCTCGCTTCTTCGGGGGCATCCTCGAAGTTCCATCGCGGCAGACAGAATGGATGGACAACCGAAAGCTGGGACCCGATATTGCGATTGGAAACCCAGACTGGTCGGGATGCTACTGCCTGCTACTGGCACGATGCTGCTTTGTCTTCTCGAAGCGGGGCACGATCCGACATTCGCAAGCTCATCGACCCGATATTGGCGCCTACCGCGGCACCCGAGGCTGGCGCGGCCCCCAAGTCGCCCGAGCTCTCCTTCGCCCCGTGGAATGCAAGGGCTTTGCTGCGCTGGCGAGGCACGCAGGCGACGAGCAAGGCTGCCCACATGGTCAAAGCGGGACTCACCAACTCCATTCGCGGCGCAGGAGGCGCGCCATCCGCTAGAGGAGCTGCAGCTTTTCACGTCAAGGGCTGCGCCGTCTTCCACAACGCTTGCTCATTTTGGGCTCGATCGAGAAGACCACGCTCGATGGGGCGCCGCCGCGGCAGCGCCTATTTCAATCGCCGCAGCGTCGAGCGCCACGTCCTCTGCGCTCGTTCCGGGCAGAGTCATTGCAGACAGCTTCACGTTGCTCTAGCGTTGAAGCTCCGCATTTCAACGCATATATCACGGTCTCTCATCGCCGCGGGCCCAGGCAGTCACGGCGGAGCTCGAGGCGGGCATCGCTCGGGCACGCGCTGGCCCTCGGGCGCGCACGGCGGCGGCGCGCGGCGACTTCACCTTCGCGCCCCATGATGCTCTGCATCTTGCGCGGCCAGATCTGGCGCGGGATCTCAAGCCCACCGACTATGCGAGGACCCACATGAGGACTTGGATGCAAGCGCTAAAGCAGAAGTCCGAGACTGCTTCGGAAAATCCCACGCGCTATTGCAAAGACACCTGCACGCTTGCACAAATCGATCGGTTCTGGACCTCTGAACCGACTTCGATGGCTCGTCAATCGCATCTTTCGGTTGCAGTAGTTTCTATCTACCCCCGAGGAGTTTCACGCGCGGGGGGTCTCAGATCACGCGGCCATTCGTGCTCGAGCTCGCACCGAAGGCAAGATGGCGCCCATCGCAAGCATGTCCGTGCACGCGATTATCAACGGCCTCAATTCCAGCGGAAAGTGGGGCGTCTTCTGCAGCCAGAAGCATTTGCCTTCGCGGCATTATCGCCGCCGTGGCAGTTGGAACGCCGCGCAGCACGGGGCCGGTTCGGGCCGGTTCGGTTGTTGCTGCGGTTCGGGTTCGGCGCCAGTTCGGTTTGAGCCGGTTCGGTTTGCCTTGGGGCGGCTCGGGCTCGGGCGGCCCGGTTCGGTTTCGGGCCACCTAAGGCCCCCGGGGGTCGGAGAGTCCTGGGACCGAGGGGCCCTGGGAGCGACGGTCAGGGCCGATGAGGTCTCGGGGCCGAGGGGCGTCGGGGGTTCGGGGGCCGGGTCGCCCGGACCCCAGGGACCTCGGGCGCGGACCTCAGGTCCATGCAGGCCCCAGGTCCGGACCTCGGGTTCGGACCTCAGGCCCGGACATCCAGGTCCAGACCTCAGGTCCAGACCTCAGGTCCGGGCCCCAGGTCTGGAGGCCCGAAAAAGGCTCGCCGAGGCCTTCCGTTGGGGGGCCGCCTCCGAGCTCACTGAGGGGGGGCCTTCTTGGAGCCTTGCGGGGGCTCCCTGGCGGAGCTCTCCCGGGCCGTTTCGTCGGTGCCCTAACAGGGCCCCAACGGGCGCGACAACGCACCCTTTTGTTGTAGCATCCGTCGGGGGGCGTCGTCTCGGAGCTCTCTGGGGAGCCCCTGGGGGCCATCATGGGCCGCCCTGGTGCCCTCTCGGTCCAACCTGGGGCCCCCATGGAGCCGCCGGCCGCTGGAACTTTACGGAGCCCGTCTTGGGGCCCTCTCGGGCCGTCTCGGCAGCATCTTGGGCGGGCCGGTTCGGTTCCACCGGTTCGGGTTGATTGTTCGGGCCGGCTTCGATCGGCCGGTTGGTTCGAATCAGCCGGCTCAGTTTCAGTCGGTCTGGTTTGGGTTCCGGCTTGGGCGGTTCGGTTGCAGGGGCCGTCGGTGCACGGTTACAAGTTCGGTTGAAACCTTTCTTGATTCTAGAATTCCGTCGGCGCGGCTTCGCGCGATGCTCTGCATCAAATATGGGCGGGCGACGCCGACAGCCTGGGCGACCAGCTGATCTTTGCGCGGCAAGCTGCGCGGGCCGTCTGGGGGCAGGGCGCGGCGGTGGCTGTCCAGGTCTTGAACTCGTCGGAAGTGGCCCGCAGTTGGATGTCTGTGTCGTTTGCGGGGGTTGAGCTGGTCGACCTCGTCGCCTTCCAGGCCCGGTTGGCCCCAGTGCGACGCGCGGTGGCTGAGCGCGACCTCGCAGCCCTGAACCAGGACGCGCTTCGCGGGACAGGGCGGGCCAAATTGGCGTCGGAGATGATTTCTGCTGCGCGGCGGAAGGCGAGATTGTGGGTTCCGCCTGCAAAACAGTTCACGCTTCGAGCCGCGCGCGTCGGTGACTCGTTCAACGCAGATCCAGAGGCGAAACTGACGGCTCTCGCAGACGATTGGGCCCCTGTTCCGGCGCGGCCGCCAACATTTCCCCTGCGCGCCAAGCTGCGCGCGCAGAAGTTTGTCACGGCCTGCGACTACCCGAGCATGGCGCCACCATCGGGCCTGCGACTACCCGACTACTTGCTCGTACCCTTCGCCGGCTGGCTCTGTCTCGGTCGGCACCAGGCGTCGATGGTCTCCCATGCGCGGCGTGGGCCGGTCACGGTGAAGGGGCAGAGGGACTATGGCGAGCGTGTGTTTGGTTGGTGGATGGTCAGGAGCCTTTCACGGCATCGGGGTACACGTTGCAAGTTTTTCTGCCCAGTGGCTGTCAGGCGAGCGACGACCAAGAAAGAGGTATTGATCGGTCCCCAGATTCTGTTCGCATGCTTGGGCTGCGGAATACCGATATGAAGGTCATCTCGGCGATGCTCAGCGCCTCCTTCACCCCGATTCTGCAGCTGACGACGTCCATGGCGCAGCGCGGCTTCATCGCTGGCCGTCAGTTCGCCTCTAACATCCCCGAGATCGACGTCATGGCAAGAGTGGCATCAGTGGCACCGCAGGCTGAAACCAAGCGCCCACTCCTGGTAGCACTGGACTTCGGCCAGGCGTTCCCCAGCCTCAGCCAGGAGCACCTCTTTGCAATTCTGGAATAGCTGCGCCTCTCTAGCGCTTGACTGGCGGCTTTTCGGTCGCTCTACGCGATGGTCATCGCTGTCGGCCGCGTTGCGGGGATCGCGCGGGACCTCTTCCAGATCTGCTGCGGCATCATGCAAGGCTGCGCGCTCTCTGGCAGCCTTGTCGCCGTGGCGACGTCTCCCTTCCTCGAGAACTCAGGCTCGGACTGGAAGTTCCTCATCGCGGACTCTTTCGAGCAGGCGCGGGCGATATGTGAGGCATTCACTTTGATCGCGTTGATCTCCGCTTCCCTCATCGCACCATGGCGGTCGCCGGGAAACTTGCAAATCTGAAGATCAAGCCACCATTGTGCGGGATCGCCCCGATTGCTGGCGCGCATGGGCTCACCCCGGCTGCCACCGTCTCGGATTATTTGGAGCTGCGCATTGCCGGTTGGAAGGCATCCAGAATAGAGGCTACACTTTTATACTTAGACATGTGGCTTGGGCCTGGCGCCTCTGCGATGCTCTCCTGGGAAGCGCCTTGGGCCACAGGCCTTTCTAGCGTGGCAGCGCTCGCAGCGCCCTCGGCGCTTGCTTTGCAGAACTTCATCAACTACGCGACAAGGGCGCTCCCGACGATGGGGCACGCGGCCCAATTGCTGCCACTCGATACAGCAGTTTGAGATATTCGTGTCTTGGTGCGACGCCTTCGGTTTCCTGGAGGCTCCTTGCGGTGCATCGACTTCTTTGTCTCAGACAATGGGGGGGGGGGGGGGCAAGCTGCGCGCCCCTGCGCCCTCGTGGAAGTCTGCTCTTATTCGGTCGGGTTTGTCCCCTCATCCCGAGCACGCAGGGCATGTCCGTCGCCTTCGCACTGCGGCTGAGCGCTGGGCCCCGCGCAGTCGCGGACCACGCGGGCAACTTGCGACCGTGCTTCTGGAAAGTCCCAGCCCTTGTCGAGTATCTGGCGCAGGGGACCAGTGCCAACAATTCCATTGGTGCGGCGGCAGCCAATGCCCTTCTTCACGAACGCCCTGCTGCTCGGCGATCGGTTCAGCGCACAGCATACAGCGCCCTTCTTCGCGACGTGATGAGCCCCTTTCTGACGGACGCCTCCGACTGCGACTTCCCGCTGGTAGACACCATTATCCGTCGCTGGACGAAGTGGCATCCCCACAAGAGGCACTGAGCTTCGTGGGTTACCTTGGTCCGCCCTGCCAAAAAAGATCCGGTCGATTCCCATGGCGCGGGCGTCGTTTACGTTGCGGGTGCCCTGGGGTGGCTGGCTTACATCCACAAGAATATCCACCCCAACTGGGCTCCGCTCATGTATCTCCAGGTGCGAGGGATGCAAGGATGATATTGGTCACTACTGGTTGTGTCGTGACCTAGCTCGGGGCATAGCGATGCCCCAGTCGGGTGGCAGGCGCCCGCTTCCTGGCGATGTCCTCGGCCGCAGGGGTAAACTCGACGACGATCTCATGAACGGCCAGATGACGACCATCATCTACCACGACCTGCGTCATCTCGGTTTTGTCGCTCCTGGCGCGCTGCCCCATGCCGCGCGCGGCGCCATGCGCGCGCGGGCGCTGGCCCACCCTGCCGCAGGGAGAGTTCGTGCTTCTAGGAAGCCGTTGTCCCCATTTGTATCGTCACAACCGGCTGCTTCCGTGGATTCAGCAGGCTCATGGGTAACAGCGCCCCACCTCTCCTGGGCGAGCTACCTGTCGGACATCATGTCCTGCATGATCTGATCCCACATCGCGTGCGATACCCAGTGGCATACGGCGAGCAGCACTTTGCCATCGAGGCCCCTATTGGCACTTGTCAGGTCCTGCTTAAACTGCTGTGGGTCCTCAGTGAACTGGTCGAACCCTGGGCGCGAAACTGGACGCCGCCCCATGCGCCTTACGGCCTCACAGCGACTGGACCTCGAGGACTGGATGGTCTGGTATGCGGACATGATTGCTGACATCTTTCTGCATCGGGCTTGCTTGGGGCTCTTTTCGGCTGAGGCGCCATCGGCGAGCGCGCGAATGGCCCCCAGCTCCGCGATGGCCCACGCGGGATGGCACAGTTCTGCAGTCAGTCGGCAACGGTTGCTTCGGCATCGTTCTGGGCCCTGGCCAAATTGGGAGCCCTCGGGCCGCCGAGCACTTCGTGTCCGTGGTGAACAACAGCTTGCCCCGCGGTGCTGGGTGCACTCTGGAATTCCCCTCATCCCTCATGTTCGGGAGCTCATTCTTCCTGCGCGCCCGAGAGACCGAGAATTTCTGGCGGAACTGGCGCTCGACATTGATGCGGACCACTGCGCTATGATCTTGCGCAGGGAGTCCGTAGCGCAGGACATCGAGATGCTTGGCTGCGCAGACTGGGTTCACGAGCAGGCTTCTCCGACGGGGTCGCGTTCGACACCTCCTCCCTCGAGGTTCTCCTCGACCTCGCCGGCGCCGTCTTCGTCGAGCTCGTCTTCCAGTCCATCCACGCGACTTGGGGCGCCCGCTCTTTTGTTTGCATTTGTTGTCCCTGTTCGCTCTGGCGTCCCTGGTGGGCGTCCTCGGCTTCCTCCCGGATTTCAAGTCCGGCGTGACCTGGGGGATCGGATTTCTGTTTGGGCGCAGCATTGGCTCCCATCTATATTTAAGTGCGCTGTGGGCAGTGATTCTCAACAGTGGATGGAGCGGTGTGTTCCTTATGTCGCCAACTTGCTGCGGCACGCGCTTTTTCGACCTCGTCGGCATACTTCGCGGCGACAGCCCAACTCAGCTCCGACAAGTGCCAGTGCCAGATGAGTTCTCGCTATCGATCTTCGTATGAGTGGGTGGTATTTACTTGCGTTCCCGCGCGAGCAGACATGGGTGCACTTGCGCAATCCTTGGCCGCTCCACGACCGCATGCGCACTGCCATCCTCCGACGCGGGGCGCTGGCGCACTTGCGGCAGAGGAGCTGGGCCGCCAACATTGCGCGCGCGCGAGTCTGAGCTGGAAGACTTCCGCGCAGTGCAACGGGTCTCTCAAGCTGGACCACCGCCGTCGCTGCTCCCACACCTTCATCTGCTGCCGCACCTCCTCGCACCCAGCCTGTGCAACGGGGTCGCGGCCGATGATGAGGGCCCTGATGAATATGCTGATGGTACTGGCCAGTCTGGGTACCCCATTCCTACTGACTCCTACATTGCCATGATGAACGAGTCTGCGGCTGCCGATGGCGAGGGCGCCGACGGCCATAGCACAGTTCACCAGCCGCTCTGCGAAGATGATGTGATAGACCCTTCGGAATACTCCCGCCACCTTGGACCTAATCTATGTGTTACAGAGTTCGAGGCTCAAGTCCAAGCTGCGATCCGCCGCTCAAGTGACGGACATGACCATATTTCCAGAGATCCGATGGCGACGTCTTCTTTCGCGAGCCACCTCCCGATATGCCTCCACCTATTGCCATGGGCCCTGATGCTTCGGACAACACGAGTGGAGATGACGACTTCGACGCGGCCATGGCTGCACACGTTTGCGGAGTTGTCTATCCTGACGGTCCTGTGGGAGGATCGACTATCGCTTTCGCTGGCGAAATGCCAATTGATTATCCGACTGCCGCGGGGGCTGTCGCCGTGACCGCACCAAAGGATCGGCGAGGTCATAGCGATTCCCATGATGGTTCCCAGTCTGGCATGTCGGTTTGAGCTCCGACGGCGGCGGGGGCTTCCCCCGCGACCGCGCGCGGAGAACAGCCTCGTGCAGACGGTGCCGCTGGTGGAGTTCACTCTGGCATGTCGACTGTAAGCCCGACGGCGGCGGGGGCCTTCCCTGCGACCGCGCAAGTGCAAGATCCACCTGCGGCTGATGCCCCTGCTGAAGTTCACCCTGGTACGTCGGTCGAAACGCCGACGGCGCCGGGGGCTTCCCCCGCGACCGCGCAAGTACAAGAGCCGCTTGCAGCAGATATCCCTGCTGAAGTACACTTTGGTATGTCGACTGGTGTTCTGTCGGCGGTTGGGGCCCTCACTGCGACCGCGCATGATGATGGGCCCCATGCGGGCGGCCCTCCTGGCGCAGAGCACTCTAACATGTCGGATGGGCGTTCGACGGCGGTGGAGGCCCCCCCCCCGTCGCGCTTCCAGCGAGCGATCCATGTGGCGCCGGTCAGTCTAATATGTCGGTTGGAAGCCCGACGGCTGCGGGGGCCTTCCCCGCGACCGCTCGATGTCGATGGCTTCGTGTTGGCGATCTCCCTGGTGCTGGTCTCTCTCTCTCTCTCTCTTATGTCGGCTGGAAGTCCGAGGGCGGCGGGGGCCTTCCCCGCGACCGCACCCCAGGACTTGGTGATGGCGCTGCGCACCTTGAGCTCGGCAGTCTCTGAGGCTGTGTACCTCGACGCTGCAGGGCGCTGACGCCCCCGCACTGGCCCTCTCGGATACGTTCACGGTTGCCCAGATGCGTGCAGCGATCCAGTAGTTCGACGACACTTACTCGCTTAGCGCTGACTAGCGGGAGATGGTGATGTGGATGCTGAATATCCCAGGCTCATTGCTCGAAGCCTCTTCCGGTTCGTCGGGGCGGCGTTCACTTTTTTTGCGGGCGGTGCAGATGCTCTTGCTTCAGGGGTGTCAGACGACGAGGACTTGCTCATGACGGCGGCCGCTGACGCGGCGCTCGCTGACGATGAAGACGATATGCCGGCTGGCCTTCTCCTTGACCACTGCGAGGACGACTCGGGAGAGGATGTTGAAGAGGGAGTGGCATTCCCTGAGTTGGTCGCGGCTGCGCCAGCAGGCAAGCGCTTTGCTGGCTTTTAAGATATCCTCGACGAGCGGGATTTTTCTGGCGGTGAGGGAGCCATCCTGTCTGAGAAGCGCGACACGGCAGCGTCGCTCCAGCAGGTCCCCGCGCCCGCCGATGAGCAGGTTTCGAACTCTGGCCATTGCTATGGCCTGGCGCCTGCGACCAGTGAGGCTCTTCGAGCAGCGGTTGCTGCACTGGGCGCCTGCGCAGGGCAGCTTCGACTTTGCTGGAGGTGCTGCGGGTGCTGTCGCTGACCT